TAAACAACTCTGTAGATTAAAGAAGGCTCCATCTTGGCCTGAAGTATACTGAAACAGACCTTTTAATGCTTAATTATTGTGTTTCTCAAATGACTCTCTGGGGTGGTTTCTTTAATTCGTTACACATGCTATGAAAAGGCAACAAAAAGAAAAAAGTGGCAAACCTGTAAAGGAGAGTCCTAAAATCTTGTTGCAAAGATTCCTAAACTCACTGACTATTCTGACAGTTGGAAATAAAATAAAATAAAATTTTAAAAAGCTGAACAAACGCATAATTCCTCTACTTATCTTTTTGGATATGACACAGAAGAATGTACATGAAAATCACGTGCCATTAATAACCTGTAAATACTCTGGAAATTCAGTCAGGTGAAATGTACTTTGACCAGATCAGTGCAAATACTCATTCCAGAATTCCAGCTCCAGAAGGGGGGAAATCAGGGCATCTAGTGTGTCCTCTACTGTGAGTAAGACTATGGTGAAGAATGGTATGTATGTATGGTACCTATGTATTTTCATAGAATCATAGAATCAATTGTTTGGATTGGAAGGGACCTTTAAAGGTCATCTAGTCCAACCCCCCTGCAATGAGCAGGGACATCTTCAACTAGATCATGTTGCTCAGAGCCTTGTCCAACGTGCTGTTGAACGTTTCCAGGGATGGGGCATCTACCACCTCCCTGGACAACCTGTTCCAGAGTTTCACCACCCTCACTGTAAAAAATTTCTTCCTTATATCTAGTCTAAATCTACTCTCCTTTAGTTTAAAACCATTACGCCTTGTCCTATTGCTACAGGCCTTACTAAAAAGTTTGTCTCCATCTTTCTTACAAGCCTTTTTTAAGCACTGAAAGATCTCCCCAGAGCCTTCTCTTCTTCAGGCTGAACAACCCCAACTCTCTTACCCTGTCCTCAAAGGAGAGGTGTTCCACAGCACTCTCATCATTTCGGTGGCCCTTCTCTGGACCAGCTCCAACAGGTCCATGTCTTTCCTGTGCTGAGGGCTCCAGAGCTGGACACAGTACCCCAGGTGGGGTCTCACCAGAGCAGAGTAGAGGGGAAGAATCATCTCCCTCAACCTGCTGGCCACACTTCTTTTGATGCAGCCCAGGATGCAGATGGCTTTCTGGGCTGCAAGCGCACATTGCCGACTCATGTCCAGCTTTTAATCCAATAGTACCCCCAAGTCCTTCTCGGCAGGGCTGCTCTCAGTCCCTTCATCCCCCAGCCTGTATTGATACCGGGGGTTGCCCCAACCCAGGTGTAGGACCTTGCACTTAGCCTTGCTGAACCTCATGAGGTTCACATGGGCCCAGTTCCAGAGCTTGTTCAGGTCCCTTTGGATGGTATCCCATCTGTCAGGTGTGTCAACTGCACCACTCACCTTGGTGTCATCTGCAAACTTGCTGAGGGTGCACTTGATCCCCCTGTCTCTGTCACTGATGAAGATACTAAACAGTACTGGTCCCAGTACAGACCCTTGAGGGACACGACTTGTCACTGATCTCTATCCAGACATTGAACCATTGGCCACTACCCTCTGGATGCAACCATCCAACCAATTCCTCATCCACCGAACAGTCCATACATCAAACCCGTATCTCTCCAATTTAGAGGGAAGGATGTTGTGGGGGACTACGTCAAAGGCCTTACAGAAATAGACATCTGTGGCTCTTCCCTCATCCACTGATGTAGTCATTCCATCACAGAAGGCAACCAGGTTGGTCAGGGAGGACTTGCCCTTGGTGAAGCCATACTGGTTGTCTTGAATCACTCCCCTGTCCTCCATGTGCCTTAGCATAACTTGTAGGAGGATCTGCTCCATGACCTACCCAGGCACAGAGGTGAGGCTGACAGCTCAATAATTCCCAGGATCTTCTTTTCTACCCTTTTTAAAAATGGGTGCAATGTTCCTGTTTTTCCAGTCTCTGGGGACATCACCTGACTGCCATGACTTTCAAATACGGTGAGTAGCTTGGGAACTACCAGTTCCCTCAGGACTCTGGGATGCATCTCATCAGGTCTCATTTTGCTAGACCACAGGTTTGTTCGTCTATTTCAAACATTCTTGAAATGTGGTTTACTTTCTTAATTTGGAGATCAAGAGAGCTGATGACAGTTCAAGAAAAAAATATTCCTCAAAGCTGTTAAAATACCATTTTTTGCCATTAAACCAAGCTATGGCCAAAAATCAAAGCAAAGAACCTTTAAGGAATCTAAGCCAACATAAACTTAAAGGAACCAAGTGCATCTCTAACAAATTTGCAATATCTAGGATTTTTTTTACACAGAAGCTCTTAGCTCTGATTTATATAGCTGAAAGCAAGTTTTGTGTGTCATATCTAAGAAGTGCTACCGTCTCTTGTTTAAAGGCAGTGACAATTTGGGGGTTTTTTACTGACATGGAAAAAATATGCTTGGCTATATTAACTGCACCTGAAAAAACCACCTTCTTCACTCCTTCAAGTTAATCTGTAATTAGGAGATGACTTCCAAAGTACCTACTTTGTGCCTCAGTCTTCTGTTACTTAGAACCATAAAGTTTGCTTTCATATGTCAAAAAGCAGTACAGGAAAAAAACACAACCGGCATATGTAATCTAAACTGAGTAATCAAAGGATACATTCATAATGCTGTATCTTTAGAAAGGTAGGCTAAAGAACCAAAGGAAAGAAAACAGCTTTTGAGTGCGAGAGGTGTGATCTAAGAAGGAGAAGGAAGGCTCTTTGCCAGGAAGCTTGCAGAGGGATGCCTGTCAACAGCTGGCTTTGCCCAGACCTAGGAGGCCATGATTCACAGAAACTGGCATGAGAAGAAACTGCTCCTCTTCCTTGGCAAATCCCTCACCCAGAGGGAAATAATCCCTGTATATACATACAGGAGGCCCTATTGTGCTCTGAAGTACAGTGCAGAAATCTAGAGCCCCCATGCTTTTAGAGCATTTAGACCAGATACGCAGTTGGTGTCTGAGAGCAGGCTGGACCACAGTGCTAGTATGGCTGCGTGGGCAGTTTTTCCTGGCTGAAGCCGAGATGCTGCTTAAGAGGAAGCCTCACTTCTACTTCTCCTGCCCAGCCACTAGTACTTGGCTCTGGTGGTCCCTGAAACACACACCCCCCTGCAGCAGGGTATTTACAAGCCCCCAGCTGGCACAGTTGTGATGTGCTGTGCTTTGGTTCGTACCCTGGCAAACCACAAAGTTTGACACGCACCTGGCCTAAGTGTCCCTCTGCGTGCTCTCAGCTCCTTGGTAGGTGAACAGAGTGTAAAGTCCCTGTCCAAGAGGAACACAGGGGCAACGGGGCTGTTACAAGCAAATGCTGGGGACACTGTGCAAAGTGTCTGCTGATGTGGTGAGTAGTGTGCCCTGGATGCATGTTTTGCAGCAAGGGATGCAGAGCTTCCACCCACCCTGGCAGCAGCAGGGGCATGGCAAAAAAAAGGCACTGGGTTTCACTCTCCTGCTGCAGAGGAACCTTAGCTTCTGGAAGCACTGGATGCTGCTGCAGGTGAGAATGCAAAATGGGGCTGAGGGAAGAGCAGGATGTCTCTGGTCCTATTCACTTGCTTTACTCTGATCTCAGAAGCACATTTTGACTTGCGCACCTGTAAGTCCTGGCTATTGCTTTTGCAGTGATTTCTCCTAACGAGGTATGCAGGGGTTACATGGGAAACCATGTCAAAACACAGCAAAACTGTAATAGAAATACAGGTGTATATGTTGATCAGCCCAAAATAAGCTATAAAAACTAGATAACCAATAAAATGAACTTTTAAGAGCACAATGGGCTTGGGCTGGCCTCAGCCCACGTTTCTACCCGGTGACTGGGGATTCTCATCTCCAGTCCCCACTGTCTTGATGGCCTCCCCTGAAATCCCTCCCGTTTGTCAATGTCTTTTCTGTATCGAGGGCCCAAAGTGGACGCAGTACCCACATGAGGTCTGACACACTGAGCAGGGTGGTATAATCCCTCCTCTTGCTCTCTGGACTGAGCCCTATTCACACCACCCCGGGTGCTCCTGGGCCTTGTCGCTGCCTGGGCACAAGGCTGTTCCCTGCTCAGCTCACTGCCCACCAGGGCCCATGGCCTCCTCCATGGCATAGTCCTATCACAGCTGTGTTGGGGCCTGCCAGGGAGAGGCAGAACTGGAAATGGAAAAAGATCTCAGAGTCTAGACCATTAGGTTTCAGCTCACCTTGAAGAGTCAACAGTTCTGGACAGAGCAAACTGTGATAACACAAGTGCAAAATGGGACACTGACGGCATTACCACTATCAGCTGTTACTGAAAAGCATTTTTCTTCACTGCATGTTTGTCCTGAAAGGCCATGGCAAAACACAAACTGCGGGATGAGCTGGGTTGAGCAACATTCTATTTCCAGCCCCACCAGAAATGCCCTTGAGCTCAGAGCATCGCTCTCACAGCCTGTGCTTAATGTGTATGTGGAGGGCAGATAGTTAACATCTGCTTTGAATTCTATTTTGTGATTTTTGTCACTGAACTTTTGGGAAGTCTTCTAGTAGGAAAACACTGTCATAGTATCTTAAACACTCAGAAACTCTTTGGCTTTTCACAGGTGCAGTAACACATTAAGGAAAAAAGATCAGCAGATCCAGCCTGTGGTGATTCTCTGTCCATCTCCATAGATCTGGAGCTGTCTACGGGCACTGGTGACTCCTTAGCTGAGGGACTTAGAAGGCAAGCAATCTCTTTTCCAAATACTTCCATGCAGTTGTTAATAAGGAACTCCACCAGCACTTTCACCTGTACACACAAAACCACTGATTTCAATCCAAGGGACAGAAAATGCATCAAACAGCCTTTCTGACTCCTGACCCTTTCATATGTGCATAAAGCTGGAGCCATGTTGCCACTCTTAGAAAAAGCTCCTCCACAAGGTTCAAGGGAGGAGACAGCAAGGTACCTCTCATCAGGAACAGTCTGATTGGCTGAGATTGATGTAGCTGGTTGGTAAATTCAGCAAATCTTGTCTTTTACCTCCAACAGCACCTCCAGTGGGAGCCGGTTCTCCTTGCTCAACATATTTGGTCCAATGCAGATGGCAATATTGATGGAGCTCATCCTGCTTGTTGATGAGTTTTGCCTGATGTGGTGCACCAGAGACAGCAACTGCTTGAGGATGAGGAGATTGGCTATAGGCAATTTGTCAGCCACCTTAAGGGAACATGAACATAATGTAACACCACTTCAGTGGCTGCTACTTCTTTGAAAGCATGTATTTCATTAAACTAGTAGAAATTACATGACTTCTAAAGAGAGGAGAGCATGTGTTTTTTCCAGACTTAGCAGCACTACCATTCAAAAATCCCCACCAGCAGCTCAGTAGTGGGTTAACTGTAAGATCTGCACTGACATGCTAGCATTACTGAAGCCCATGTCTTTGAGCAGATCAACATTTATAAATCATATGTTGTCAAGAGGAATCACTGCAGGCTTTCCGAAGGCTGATAAAAGCCTGCAGTCGTGTTGTATAGCTTTCAAGGTACTCTAAGCCAGCTTTCAAATCTACTTTTGAGGAAGGAAGCATGGTGGCATTTGCCAGCTCCTAGTTTCACTCAAGACTCCTCAAAGGAAGATGACTTGTCCATGCCTGATTGACAGCAGAGGGACTACCTCCACTAAGACACTGCAACTGCTGACCACTTCTTATGAGTCATTTTGTGGAACAATCTCAAGTACCTTAAGGAAGTGTTCTGCCTAAAGAAATGCTTTTCTGTGCCACTCTCCCCCTAAATCCCACTCCGCAGCAGCAATAGACAGCTGTCAGAACCAATGGGATTTTACTGGAAACTGTCAATTTGCAGGGAAGTCCCAGGCCTCTACCAGTCCTTCCATATCAGTGGCACTACTTGCAAAACTTGCTCTTTCAGTTCTTCCAATCTCTCCTCCTTGCTCAGCTTCTCCAAGGGTCACATCCAGTCCTTGATAGAGGTCAGGCAGCAAGAGTTTCAAAGAGATGTTTCAGAGTAAGTCCTGCAATGCCAAGAGCTTCAGATAAGGCTTTGAATGCGCCCTCTGATATCACAGGGAACGTCCCAGTGAACCTGGCTTGGAGGAGGCAGGTTGGTTTCAGTGACCTTCTCTCAGAGCTACCCATCAACGCTGACAGAGCACGCAGCTGCCGGGGTATGGGCCAAACTCACACTCCTGCTCTTCTCTGCCCTCTGCTCTCTCCTAAATCTCAGTGTGCCTCCCAGAGGAAAACACTGAGGATCAGCATGAAGTGAGCTTCCTATGGGCATGCCAGAAACCAGGGGCAGAACAAGAGCAACAGAAAAGAAGACTGAGAATAAAACCACCAAACTGGAAATTGTAAGCTTGAGAAACAGAGTTCAAATACATTGTGGCTTTGCCATGGGCTTCCAGCTAGGTCAAAGCCAGTCACTCAAGTGAGACCTGCAGTATAGCAGGGAGCTCTTGCAGCCTGAACTCAGAATTCACCTTCAAAATCACTGCCAGTGGGTGTTTGGCTTTCCTGGTCAACATCCCCTCCTGTGTGTAGGGCATCCTTCATCTCCTGTTGTGCTTTCTTGCTGGCAGCTGGTCCAAATATTTTCTCAGCTGACGACCCTTTCATATACAATATATCCAGGAGTTCCTGTGGGAAACGTGGCCTGGGAGAACTGGGACTTTGATGAAGATAGGCCCTGTGGCATGTAAACGTGTCTTAGAGACAGAAGCAGGTTTGGATGCGGAGGCACACTCTGCTTTCACCGGGATGGGATCCAGATGTTGCTCCAGGGAGACCACATTGCGAGAAGCCTCGTCTTCTGCTAGCACAAAAATCGCTTTTGTGCTGGTGAACTCCCCTCACTACCATGAAGACAGTCCTGCTTCCGTCCTAAAGGGAAACAGGGCACAGGTCAATTCTTCATGTCTGAATCTCTCTCTGTCCCTTCCCACTCAACCAAGCCAGGATGCGTTCCCCACAGGGACTGCTTAAAAGGGGAAAAAATCCTGTCTTTTGCAAAAACACCTTGTGGGGAAATTGTCCAAGAACCTTGTTAGCCCAAAGGCAGTGTTTAGATATGGTCGGTGCTAGTCCATTGCTGACTGTTTTTCTGGAAATGCAGGAATCCCTGGAGGTTCCTGATGCTAAGAAGAGTTCTTTGAAGCATTTCTGTGAGACCACAAAGATTCATGCAAAAGACCAGATCTCCTTCTCTTATTCACAACTCTGGGCTTTTTCCCCTGGAGCTTTCTTCCATCAGAAGTGGTCTGGGCCAGACCAACCCCTGGACATGGCTTCTGCTATGTTTAGGCTGTGACCTAACCTGAAGGCTGTGGCTGCAGAAGTGTGTGCTGGGAGGAAAACACCCAAATCACCTGTCTCCTGAGGTCCATGGTATCTCTCCTAGGAATGCTGCCTCTTAGGAGAAGTCTGAGGGCCTGGATCAGCTGAGACAATGTGCCATCTTCTCCACAGCCACCAGAGGCTGGACAAAGGATGCCCTTCTGCAGCCAGATCCCAAGTGCCCTGGCACATCTGCAGCAGTAGAGGTCTGTCACAGAGCAAAAGGGTGACGTAGCACCTTCCTTCTCTTTGTGGTTTCACCTGCTGCAAATGAAAACAAAAATCAGTTTAGAAAAAACAGGTGGATGCTCTCCTACCCTCTCCTGTGTGCCACGCAGTCCTAAGCCGTGCAGCAGGAAAAGCAGGGGGCAAACAGCTGAAACTGCAGCTCAAGCTCAGCAGTGTCTGTGGCTCTTCAAAGGGAGTGTGCCACAACACACTGTCCCAGATCTCGCCCTGCCCTCCTGACGCTCT